TTATAGTATGTGGACACAAGAAATAATCCATTGGATACATTCAGCAGTAGCTAGAATATGGCATAACAATTTTGACCCTGAACTTGAAGAAGGACATGGTGAAATGGAAGAGAAAGCAGTAGGAAGAACTGTCAGTTAGAAGAAAAGGAAAACATGATTAAGTGGTTTCCAGTGTTTGGCACAAGAAGTCTGAGAACATGATCATGATCTTCAAACGTAAAATTCTGCTTCACGGAAGAAGGTACCTGTCTGCCCGGCAAGGCAGGGAAGACAACAAGGGGCCGAGACTGCAGGAGGGAGTCTGAATATAAGAGGCTTCTGACTGAGAAGACTGTGTAGACCTATTTGACTGGAATATTGTATTTTTCAGAACCTGTTAGAAAATATCTGCCAGGAATGGAACAAGCACAGTGATCGTGCTGTAGGACAAATTACAAAATTATGTTTGAGGTCTCTTTCTGCTCTACTACAGCATAAGACACTTCAAGTTAGATTGAATGTGTGGAATACATGAAGTGAAAAAAATACCAGTTCCCTCTTTCTCTATCCACTATGTCACTTCCTCTCTGCTCCTTTCTGCAAGGAACCTGCAAACATGTAGCTTTGTCATTTACTTTCTCATACCGGCCAGGAAGCATCCAGTAAGATTTAGCACTTTATTTTCATCAGTTTACCTACTGCCTACAGACCAAAATAGTTAACTGTGTCTTTTCTAGGCTCCCACTAAAAAATACCTGTGCTAAATCAGGGAGACTTAGATCACTTGTCAGTGCTGAGAAGAAAAGCATTACAGAACTTTACCACTAGCTTTTTGTTGCATTCCAGTTGCAACAGAGATATTCTTCTAAGCATATCCTCTTCACCTTGACAAAGAGTCCACAAGTAGTAATGATAATGGTAATGATATTAACATATTTGTACTAAGATTAGCAAGAGTTTCTGTGGCATGAACATGGCACTTCAAAATCTTCCTATTCTTACTGATTCTAATCTGTTATTTACATCTATGTTCACTGTCAGAAATAAAAAGTATGCTAAAAATATGGAAACTGAAATACAGTCATAGGAAGGCAAGTGCCGTTTGTATTTTCAACAGTTGTTAGCAAGCTACATTAATTTTGAAGCAACACTCCCCATCACACCACGGTCTACATTTTACTAAGCTAAAAACATAAAACTTGCATAGTGGGAACCTTCAGTGACTTTATGCGTTATATGTTAGCCAATTGGAGGTAAAAGAAGAACACTTTTTGTTGAAGGTGGTCTCCAAGGGGTTAGCTCCACTCCATTCAGACATCAATTGTACAGCCCATCTACTTTGCTATTCTACTAAAATTCTGTAAAATTAAACTAAAGTGCAAAGTAAATAGAGAAGAGTGCAAAGAGGTGCAACAGGAAAATTCTTCAGTTGGAATGAATTACAAGTAATGAATTACCTCATGGACATTGTTGAACCTCTCAAAGCTTACCATGTTTTTGGAAGAATGCACATATGGTGAAACCTGTGGGCAGAATGTAGGTAAGCCTAAAGAACTTTGAGATGTGTGCATGCTTCTAGACTGTAATATAAATAGGAGATGCTAGTTTTGAAACAGACTTTTAGATATAAGACTCAATGGTAGAAAAAAGAAATGGTGCTTTCATGTGTAAATATACAAAGTTTAATGTTTGGGCTTGAGGCTTTTAGTGAGAAATATGTACAGTACCAGTACCAAGAAAGAGGTAGAACTCAGCTCTTTGAAGGGTTAAAGTGAACTTTAGTCTTCCACCGGTCACCCTCTGGTACTGTATCTTAATAAATTTCCCCTGTTTATGGAGTGTTTTTGATGGCAGGCAATTCTTTGTTGAAAGTTAAGTGCTCTTTTATATGAATAAATAAAGAAGGCTTTGGTTTGAATGAATACATTATTTTGACAAATGTTTATTGGAAACCCAATTATGGCTTAATAAATCAGTACTATCTGTGGTACATCAGGTGAGCTCACCCATGCCATCAAATGGCACGCTGAATATTAGTAGGATAATTAAAACAATTCTGTTGGATGTTGTTCTTCTTACCCAGGTCTGACAGTAGTCAAAACAGGAAGAAATTGTTTATTAATTTTATTTAACTTATTAAAATACTTTTTCTAAGATGTAATGGGCATACTTAACACAAAAAAAAAAAAAAGAAAAAAAAGAAAAAACCATTTGTTTTCAATTTGCTGTTAGATTACAATGACAAGGTCAAGTGCAATGTATGAACTGAGTGGCAGCTGAATTTTAAGGGTAGTTGGGAAGCAGAAAGGATATATATGAAGTCTATTGTTTGAACTTTACACCCAGGTGAAGTGGAGCTTTGTTTTGTCTGAAGCAGTCACTGGTGATATGAAATGTATCTGGAGTCAATTCATGTGCTTTCTGAGTTAGAACAACCAGACGAATGAGAAGCCGTTTTCACAGCTGTGAAAATGAAGGGAATCAAGTGAAAATCTTGAACTCAAAGTCAAGAAGAAATAGACAAGTTTAAAGTTAAGTTTTTTTATTCTCATAATATTCCCCTGTAGATAAAAATTTACAGGGAGCAAACCACCAGGAATTCCCATCTCTTGAGGTCCCTGGACTGATGACAACAAAATAGAGATATATTGGTGGAAGGACACTGAATAGCTTTAAGATTTATGAAAAGAACCTAAATGATTTCCCAAAGGACCATTTCCAGGCTTAGGATATGGCTACATTTATATCCACTAGGACTTACAAGCCTAAAATAAGGATTGAAACTGAAGTAATTTGGTTTGGTGTGCATTTGAATTAGAACAATATAAATAGCCACCTAGATTTCTTTCTTACCAACTCAACTTCAGTCTAATATTCTTCTTAGGGGCACAGAAGAGGGAATGAGGAGACGTAAGGAGAACAACAGAAGGCACCACAAAGTTCAGCTTTTCTCCCCTGAGAGAAAATGAGTGTTAGGAGTTGGCCAGAGAGATGGCAATGAAAAACTTCTCTTTGGAATTTGTCAGTTCATTGAAAGGAGAAAAAAAATCACCAAGACAAATTATTTTGTTACACCAGAAATTAATTTTCCTCAGGACCAACTCAGGCTCCAGATTTCTGGCAGCAGGCAGAGAACTTGGAGGTCCCAGGGCTTAATTGCCCACACTAGGACTTAGGATAACATATTTCCCCAGAGATCTGCTTCTCAGATCTTGGATAAAGTTTGAGGTCATCTTCTAAAAAATAGTTAGACAGCATTTTATCATTTCCTGCAAGATAGAGATAATATTCTCTATTTTCCACCATCCCTTACCCTAGTCCCGTCTCAGGATTTTAGATTGACAAACAGCAAAAGTGTGGGAAGCCATATAAGGATTGTCTTCACTATTTACAGTTCTATTTTTTCCTTTATGAAATAAAAGCAGGCATGCACTTTGCTGCCAAGGACACCATCACCAGTAATAAATATTCTGCAATAAAGAAGACAGAACTTAGGACAATCATGGTGCATTAAAGCCTTGGGCTTTTTCTCCTTACCTAAAAAGATGTTCCAGGGCTAGCAAATCTGGATATCTCTCTTCCAAAGTAAAAGAAGTGAAGGTACTGGGTTTTATACCAATTTTAGTAAAATTAAATTAGCATTCCTTTGTCACATGGATTATCTTTACTTGTGGACCACATTTTGTTACCCACAGGCAAGAATGAAGGATTTTAGAAGTAAACTCTTTCTCACTACACCAATTTCTCACGTGCCGCCTCAGAAAGGCAGACCGTTCGGTCCAAACTATGCACATAGAAACAAATTTCCTTGAATAGGATCAAGGAGATGTATGTGGTTGGCCTGGTAAAGAGAAGTGTGGACATAGAACAGGAAAGAAATGCATTTAGAAACTTCCCCTGAGCTCTGGTAAGGCTGAAAGAGTAACAAGAAAAAAGCAGTCTGCAGCCCATGAACTTGACGCAAAAGACACAAGACACAGCTCTTAAGAAACCTAATTATCAACCAAAGCTTCAGCCCTTCCTCCAGAGTTTCACAGAAATTTATTGTCAATAAATAATATTAACAGATTTGGTTCCTGGCCAAGTTTATTAATTTTTCTTATCTCTAGCCTCTTTTCTCAAACCTAGTTCCCTACCTTTGCCTGTGGTCAATCTAACTGCAAATGTGGAGTTAATGGAAGGAGAAAGAAGGGGAGAGAAGGAGCCCCAGGTTTTCATAACACAGATTTAAAACACAACAGCTCTGAAATATTCCCCCTTAGATTTTATTTCTGAATAAACTGTGGCTATCAACCTTATTTCATTGCTCTTGATTTAGCATTTGGACACACAGCTGAAATGTTTTCTGGTTTCACTCTGCCTTCTGCCAAAAATTCTTGATAGACAAGCTAGTTTATCTTTTGTCAGACCCTGTGAGTGCATCAGAACAGTTGCTGCTCTTTTCTCTAGTGATAAAGGTGCTGCACCACTGCCTGCTCTGCATAGCCTCATATTTCAGTGGAAATCAGCATTTAAAGTGTTACACCTTGGAGCCCAAAGGAGACAAAAGCTTCGTGGAAGATGGTTCTTCATTTGTAAGCGAGACTCCTGTTGCCATCCATAAATCCCTCAGGCTGCTATTATAACCCAGAACAAGCTGGCATCACCCCTAAATACAGAAGACTGTGTGAAAGATTAACAGAACAAAAACAACAAAGAAGTCATTAAAACACCTAGATGATAAAATGCTTGAAAATATATCCCCAAATTTCCTTGTGGCAAGACAGTGATTGAGCCATAGATCAAAGCTATTCTTCTTCAGGGGATGTTCAGGGAGAAGGCAGTACAGTGTGTTAACATGCAGGACTACAGCTCTTACAGTAATGGGGAGAAGCAGAAGACTGAACACTGACCTCAGTTATTTTAAATGCACTTTTCTTTCCTTCCAGCAAGAAGAACAAAGCAAAACAAAACCAAAAAATCCTCCACAAAACAAAAAAAGAGCCTTGTTTTTAACAGACTCAACTCAAGTTAATAGAATGTGGGTTTAATGCTATATTTCATTTAATTAACTCTTAGCTTTTTCTATGTTACATTTGCATTGCTAAAAACCTAAAACTATGAATTGTGTTGGATGAATAGGTTAAATAATTTCTTTGACAAACTAACTTTCACCAGCACACAAATGTTCATGTTACAGAGTCTTTGTATCATGGAAAGCAAATAGTTATTCAAAGCCGACAACTCTGGTCCACTATGTACTCCTCAGTGATGCTACACAAGTACCAATTACAGAGAAACACACTGTCCAGCAAGCATTTGCTTTCAAGGCCACAAAAATAACCAAACCAAAACAAACAAACCAAAAGAAACAAAAACAACAAAAAACCCCTGTAATGCTCATTGCATTAAGAAATTATGAAATCTACCTGTTTTCACTCTAACTTTTTGCCCTGCTACTCCATCAACTTCATCTGAATATGCCTGAGGTCTGCAATAAGTACTGGGATGAAAATGACTGTAATAAACAACAAGAAAAATAATACCTAACACCAGACTCAAAATAGTTAAGATGCTTATAATTGTAAAACATATTCCTTTCATAAGGGAAGGTTTCCAGAACATATATATAAACAAAATACCTAGAGTCATTACAGTGTGAGTAGCATAATAAATAGAAATGCAAACTTTTGTTCTTCTCCCCTTTATGTTAAAAAAGGAAAAAATTAGAATTATTCCAACTACAGTTCTGTACAGATATTCCATCTTCTTAGACTTGCAAAATGTTGTATGCTGTTTCAAAGTCCAAGTGAAGCCACCGATCCAGAGAAATATCAGCAGAATTACAGAAATTCTGACACTGAGTAGAGTGATCAATGAAATACTGAGTATCCAAGAAGTGATGGTAAGCAACTTATAGAAGAGGTATGTGAACTTGGAAAGCACATGAAATTCATCTTTGTCAGGCAGAGATTTCCGTAGTGATATCTGATAATCAACCATTGTTAAGGAGATACCACAAAAAGACATCATAATGGCAGCATCTAAACAAAACACAAGGAAAAATGTTACATCAGAGAAAAAGATACACTATTTTACACTATGATTGCTGAATGAAATTTTACAAAATATCATGCATTCCTAACACTTTCTTTAACCCAGTTTTATATTTACTCTCTGCTCCAAAGCAAGTCACCATAATTTTAAGGCTCACTTTAGTTACTTAAATCTAGGCATCTGATGATGTTTGGTACACTTACATTATCCTGCCCAGTTCCTGGTCCTTAATGACCTTGTCCAAGTTGTGTGTCCTATCTGCCACGTCCATACACAGGTGACTTAGAAATTCCCAAAGTATTGCAAATAGACCATAAAAATTTAAGTTTCAGCAACCAATATATGTGAGTCTGCTGTGTCTAAAATGTAGAAATCTATAACTAAGACATGATCCTTCACATGGTCATATCCAAGATTAGATTTGTCTGATCCTTTTCCATTAGTAAATTTTGACTCCATGGACTTTGAAGGAACACTAGACATCAACGCAGGTATCCCCATTTGGTTAGATAAATTCCAAGCCTGTATAAGTCAATGTCCTTCCTGTAATTCTTCTAGTTTTAGAGATGGAAATGGTACAGTCTGCTGTCTTGCTTCTCAGAGTTGAACCAATATCTCTTCACCGTGTTCCATTCTACATATCCTTAGATTTAGTTTTGACTCTGTCCCCCACCTGTAACATATACTCATGGGCCTGCTTTAATTATGTAACTGACTTCCAAATGCCTAGCTAGCAGTTTTAAAATAATGTGTAATCAAAACCACACATATCAAACTGCTCTGCAAATTACAAGCTAATTGCACTTAAGAGCTTCTTTTCAAGTGATGCATGATTACAGTTTTATTAGATATTATGACTTTTATATTTATGATGCACAGTATTTAAATATGACTTTTCATTTTTATAGTGAAATCTTCCTTCTTATTGATTTAGCAAAATTGACCATTTACCAGACAGAAATTCTAATTAAATGCAGAGTAATAATACAGCGGAACACATGTTTTCCAAGGTACATTTAAAATGTTATCCAGTCATGAGTTATATTTTTAGGTAAGAAATTCAATTTGCAACAGCAGGAAAAAGACTTACATTGATAGAAATTAGTTTTGCCATGTTCCATGAGGATGTAAATCTGAAGAAAAAGTTGTGGTGTGGTCTCAAGAAACGTCTTGAACACCCTGAGCATGTTAATATCAGTCATTGCATCAATAGCTTTTTTTTCAATGCAGTTGGAAGGATCTACTTCTGATGCACCTCTGTTACTTGTTTGTTTAAATGCAACTTGACAGCCATATTTCAGAGCAAACCAATACCTATTTTAAAAAGGACACTTGATTAGACAGGACTTTTTAGAAGACCAACTCAATAAAATGATACAGCCTTATAACAACTTTTTCCTTCTTCTGCTCTGGTAAAGTTCTGTCTGATACCAGTCTGGTATCAGGGATATCAGAGAATCATTTAAGCCCAGCAATACCATGTAATAACAAAACTAATGAAACAGAATGAGACTTTTCTGAATAAAGATTACAAACTTAATTTTGTTAGGATCTAATTTCTTTAAATTACTGCATTTCTGAAAATTCACTCAGCGTCTCTCCTCAGTCTCTCTTTGAGATACTCATTCACTTTCTTTGTATCCTTTTCAGGGTATTAATGAATATCCAGCTGTGAACATACACATCTATGTAAGTAGAATATAGATCCATAAACCCCAAGGATAATACCTGATGAATCGCAAACATAAAATGGACTTTTAAAAAAACCTACTACATTGTTACTTTCTAAATAATCAGAAGACTTATATTTCAGAAAATACTGAAATATAAGTTTTACTCTTTTTTTGTGCCATGGTCATATATTTATATAGGTAAAAGTAACAGGCAGATACACTGCTTGCTAATACCCTATCAAATTAGATATTTATTAAATACATAATGATGTAGGATAGAGAAATCTAGTCTTATTATAATAGCAGAGGTCCTGAGATGTGGAGAGATAGGATACAGTGTAGAAAAGCACATGCATATGATGATAAGGGATGGCTTGAAAAAAAGGGATAGGAATGAAAAAAGATGTATGTAGCAATTTTAACTGCATTACTATTATTGTTATTATTACTGAAGACTTTTATGTACAGATGTATTCTTTATTTTTCTGTAATAAATAGATCTAGATTAATAACAATTCTTGGAATCAACTGTTAGAATTTAATTTACACTAAGTTCTTGGCTTTATAGGTATATAAATCCATGTGTTCTTCCATAAACAGGATTTTGACCATAGCAGGCTTCAGACATCACTTCTAAACCTATTTCTGTCTTTAGTTCCCAGTTCTGACATTCTTCTCCAATGAACCCACTTTGATTATAACCAGCAGGCAAGAACAGCCTGAGTAGTTACTTTTAAAGAAAACTCACTGTTATTCAGCCAATTTTTCTAGCCTTGCAAAGACTACTAGAGTCTTTCCTCATCCAAAGAGAAACTAATTCAGTAAATAAATTATGACAGTTTCATCATTCACTTGGATTTATTTTCTTGAGAAATTAAGCAGAACTCCACAGGCCAACACTTGCTTATCTTAGTTACACAAGACCGCTAATACACAAGCTGAGAAAGGCATGGTCCTATGCCTTAACTTGCCTCCTATTTACATTCCCTAAGACAGCATCTGAGAGAACTTCAAGATTCATGCTGAAGGGCAGCTTTCTAATTCCCTGACCATCCACAGTATCACACACACCAGGGGCCTGATGAAACCCGTGCCTTGCATTTACCGTACGTAGAGAACAGAGGGCAGCAGATCATCAGACCATCAGCCAGCCAGACCTCACAGGGCCGTCTCCTCCCAGTGTAACGCTGGAGCTCAGGACTCCTTACTAAGGGAGCTCGGAAGAATCCCTGGCTCCTTCAGGAGTTAAAAGTTTAACACTTTTACCACCTTTAAAGACCAAATCCTTTGACCACAGGGAAGGCAGTGTAAGGCTCTCTTCCACAGCCACGAGCAAGACAGCCAGGATTGTCAGTTCCTGGGTTAAGGGCATGCTAGAAGACTCATTACGTATTCCCTGGTATGTTAAGGCATTTTGACCATACAAGTGAGAACTGCAACGTGGAAGCAACAATAGAGTAGGTGTGGAGCAGCTTTGTTACATAAGAGCCTTTCCTTTTCTCCTTGCAGAGATTCATAGGCTGCATCCCTGCCACTCAGTCCATGAACTGCCTCTGGATCCATTGTTTACTCCCAAAGGAAACTAATTTTTATTTTTATGGTTTTGTGTATTTATCTCATTGTTCCCTGAATAACCACTCATAAGCAACGAACTGAACTGTTTGGCAAGGCATCTAAAGCATTTTTCCTGTTTATAAAACAATTAGTATTCCAAAACATCTGGTTCTTGCATCTGAGATGTAAAAAACTGGAAAGTTTGCAATGTTTCCAAGAAAAAAACAATTGGGTAGACTGATCTGCTAGTTGCCCATGGACTCATCCACCAGAGCCTGTGTTTGTCCAAGCAGCAAGAAGTGGAAATCAGCTGCAAAAATTTTGAGCTGCAGAGCTCACAGTCGAGATGGCAGGTGACATGTAAGGCAAGAGCTGTCCTAAAATAAATATTTCAGCTGGATAAATACCTGAAATCACTTGTAAGTTTTTAGAGCACATTCCTTCTGAGCATTGTGTATTAGGTTTATATTGTTATAAGATGGTATGCTATGTATTTGTCATTAGTTGTAGCGGTTTTGATTAGTCCACTTCTGACTTTGAACACTTTATAGAATACATTTTTTTTTTCTAGTAAACTCCAAATACTTCTACTGCTCTTTGATTATGTATTAAGCAGCGTGGCGTTCTCCAACATCCACGTTTATGTTACTTACTGTAAGTACACTGTGACAAATTTTCATATTTTAAGAGTATTTTGTACTTATACTGTCATTCTCATCTGTCTCTTTGGCATGTAGTATGACCTTTTAGGAAGGGTTCATAACCAACTTAGACCTAATGTTGAAGTACGTTCCCAGCCTGGGGCACAGTTCAGTCCATACTAAAGGAGAGGTCAGGTTTAAATTTTCTCCTTTATCATGCCCACAGCTCAGTTAAACCCTATGCCTGCTCTGAAACTATAATAGCTATACTCCTCTAATCTATTTTCCTATAATATATCTATTGCTACAGGAGTTCTGTGCTTCAATATTCACAAACTGCAAAGTCTTTTAAAAAGGTACTACAACTGTAATAAAATACATTAATAAAAATATTGGATTAGTTATGTATTTTAGCTAGAGGTACATCTTAAATGGAATGTGAAATGGCTATGTCAATAATACAGACAAATGCAGGTTTACCATTTACTTTTTCTCCTTATAAATTCATCAAAGAGAACAGTTTTTTTGTTATTTCAAGGCATATAAGCTACTTGGAAGCCAACAGAGTAAAAAAACTACAACTTCTTTGCAACTGGTATTGTCATATGTGAATGGTAAAGAATTATTAGTGTTTCTAAATATCATTCATTTTGACAGGAGAAACAAAAAGGGTTTCTGCATTTGTAGTATTGCTTTGTGGAGAACACAGATAACAGGGCTCCTTCTTGTTATAAAAACTCATGGAAACACAGCTCCATTGTCTCTCTGTTCTTGAGATGTTCCTAGATATTCACCACCATTTCACAAGTGATGAAGTTTGATCCTGTAGAATTAGGAAGGCTTTGTCTTTGGCTGGGAATTCACAGAGGTGACAGCTATTTTGTTTTGTTGCTTCACAGTCTTCACATGTGACAAGTAAGTGGCCTTGCCAAAGTTTCCATATCACATGCTTCCTTTCCGATTTCCACTGACTTGTAACACAATCCCAGCATTATACTATATCTCATCAAACTACACTGATAAATATTTGGGTGCCATTTACAAATTCATATAGGCAGGGTGTGAGTGGCCTGTCAATAATGGTTGTCCTGTCAAAATTCTGGCCATGCAGTCATAGCCTTCAGCATTGCATAAATCCTTATCAAAGGAAAATTACTCTCTGCTGCATGTTAAATTTCACCTTCTAAGTATCAAAATACTTGGATTAAACCCATGAAACTAACGCAATAAAGTCAATACTTAGGTCAGTAAATTTATATTAAGAAAATGTGATCAAACATAGAATCACAGAATCATTTCATTTGGAAAAGATCTTTAATATCATTGAGAACAACTACTGCTCTAGCACTATCAAGTTGGTGGACCTGAGTGCCACATCTACATGTCTTTTAAATATCTCCAGAGATGGAGACTCACCCACTTCCTTGGGCACCTGTTCCCATTTCCCCACATTCTGTGACAGTGTTATTGTCTTAATGTTGTCTTTTTTGTCACGACTGTTCTCAATTCTACAAACATCTGTGTGAACCATTTCAATGGGTTTTAGTCAGCATGTTAAAATGTACATTTTTTAACTTAATTTTGTCTCCTTATAGAGCATACTATTTCATATGAAATATAATAGCAGGTATGCACCCTTTCCAACAAAAGAAACTAAATCCTTCTTAGATAAGAAATATTTTTAATTTTGTTTGCCTCTGATTTTATATATATTGTATGCATGTATATACATCTATATATAACAGCATAATTTGCATATTTATTACTTAGCATTGACAGTGTGTTAGCAAAACCAAACTGATTCCCATTGTTCTGTGCACTGTACAAAACCTCCAGGGTACTAGTTTGTAAGTCACCAGTTCCAGCACCTAAAGGGAGCCTAGCAGAAAGCTGAAGAAGGAGTTTTTACAAAAGCATGAAGTGATACAACAAGAGGGAATGGCTTCAAACTGAAAGACAGTGGGCTAAGAAAATATATCAGGGTGAAACTCTTTCCTGTTGGGGTGGTGATACACAGGTTTCCCAGAAAAGCAGTCAATGCCCCATCCCTGGAAGTGCTCAAAGCTGTGTTAGATGGGGCTTTGATCAACCTGGTCAAGTAGAAGGTATCTTTGCCCATGGCAGGGGAGTTGGAAGGAGCTGATTTTTAAGGTCCCTTCCAAACCAAACCATTCTAGGAGTCTAAGCTCAAAGATGGAGCAAGAGGTGTAAAAGGAGATGAAAGGAGGAAGAAGGAAAGGAAGAAAGGAAAAAATAAAAAAAGATAATTTGATAAGATTTATTCACATCTTATAATTTCAAGCCTCAAGAGTTCACTGACCAAATCTTATTTAATGGCTAGGCCCTCATTTTCCTCTTTGAATGAAGAATATGAGTTTCTGCTCCAAATGACCTTCTAGAGAATCTCAACAAGTATGACCTGACTTGACAGAATCCATTTTCATCCATTTACTGTACAGATAAACCTGAGAGACTCATTGTCTAAACTACGCAAATTAGATGACTAAGTGGGAGGACAGGAGGAAGTTCTACCTTGATACACCTAAGGAAAATACATATAATAGAAGTATGTAATAGTTAATCACAAAGGTACAAGCCCAGATGCCAACTTGCTGTTACCAGCTTATACTTTACAATATGCATTACCACACTGCTGAATTGTGAGGAGTGGCTGAAAGAACTTTGTAACTTATACATAACACCTTGGAAATTTTCCAAGCATAAGTAGCAACATTAGAGAAAATATCATTTGTGCAATAAAGAACAAGCAACCAAGTTGACAACACTGTTCAAAGAACAAAATAATGTTTACTACATAATAAGCCACTCAGAGAATATGGAGCTAAATCTGGAAAAGAAGATTCAAAGTTATAGAAATTCATGGTAAGAGATATTAATTGGAAAGCGTATGAGTTCAGGTAAATCCAAGAGTTTGTGGATTGCTTTAGAGTTAAGGTAATCCACTAAGCAAACAAAGTTTCCTATCACCATTAAGTCAGTCCGTGCAAATATCCTTACTAACTATTCAGCTATTCATTTCTCTTCTGAATCTTGGTGAGTTTACTACACATGTTTAGACACTCAGGTTGAAACTTTACTTCATCAGCTGTCTCAGATGCTTACTGTGCATAACATCACTTTGAAAACTCATATTTATCAGTTATGACAGTAGTACATTTCAAAGCAATCATTTTTATTAGGTATGCCTCATCAAATGGCTGGTTAATCAAACAGAGCAGGGTTGTGAATGATAAAAATCATTGCTTACAGGTATATGGAAGAAGAACTACATGTCCATCAAAACCTGACAAAATTTACCACCAAAATCCATTTATTCACATGGAGCAGTAATTGTTAAGGCCAGAATTGCTCTTGTCCCTGAAGCGATACTAAGCACTTCTTAATAACTGTCCAAAAGCACCATTTCTCATTTTAAAATAAATGTTTAAATGTGCTTACCTTATAAAAATTCCACAATGAAAGAGATGAACTAGAAAAACCAACTTCTGCTTCCCAGTATCAGTACCTTCCCAGTCGTTTTTAAACCACTCATAACTAAATATCTGAGTTATTATTGATGAAATACCTCTAAAACAGAGTATCAATATACTCCAAGAATATTGTCCTTGACAGAAATACCTACTAGCTACCCAGAAGTCGACTCCAATATCAACTACATAAATTATCATTCCACCAACTAAAAAAAAGAAGTTCTGCTTAGTAAACTTCTTAATGTGTGAAACTGCCGCTGCTGTCATTCTCTCCTCACTTAATGTAAAGGAATATAAATGCTTTCCTACAATGGAATCTTTTTCCTGACAATACCATCTTCTCATATTGCTTCATACAAAGGAAAGTTGGGTTGTCCATTTTTATTATGGCAAAGAGAATTGCATTTTCCTGTGCTCTTGATTTAAATATTAAATTAACTTGTAAAATACATATCTATTTTGGAAAATATAAATGTAAATTGTCTTTTTAATTGATGGAGTAGTTCTTCTTTACTGATTCCTAAAAAGAAGAAGAAAAAAAGGAAGATTAGCAGTAACAATACCTTCATCATTTAAAATATCCTACAGCAATTCTCATGACCATTTGAACAGGCAAGTACAAAATACAGAATGTGCTGAGACACCAGCGAACAATCAGCCCAAGAGAGCTGCATTTCTGAACCTGCTAAGGTCACCCATTCTCCCAAACAATGACTCTCCACTCAAACAGCTGTTGAGATAATTCCTAAGAGTTGCAAAACACTAAGAAACAATTTTTTTAAAGCAGCTTATGGAAAAAAGATTGATTCCTTCCCAGAACTTTCTTAATTTCTGAACTTTTCTCCTTTACTGTGCACAGCACAAAATGTTAAGAAAACTTTTGTCTTGAGCACACACCATGGTATCAGAATAAACATCATTTGGCAGTTTCCAGCTATTACTGCATTTGTGTGCAAACATCCCGTGTTTTTATCATTTCTGCTTGGTTTTCCACACGCAGTAGGAAAGTGCTAAATAAGATTGCAGCTCTCCTGTTAAAGAGGCTTCTGAGGAGCCAGATCTAGGCCAGTCTATACCTCTTTGAGAAATGTCTTCTAAGCTGTGTGTAGCTACACATAGATGATTTAACCACATAGCTCACTGTAAATATATTTCATTTGTAGTCAGAACTACATTTTACATTGCCCAACACTGCAAGGATTCTTGTGATCTCTTGGGTAGTCCTTACATGCCTTTCCTCTCTAGATCTGTGGTATTTGGCAGGTGAAACAGAAAAGCTATAAGGCAGTACATTCTTTTTCTCATTCACCTCTGCAAAGCTATAAACTTAAAATTACAAGGTCCCTTTACTTCATTTACTTATCTTAGGAAAAAGCTGCTGGCAGCAAATGCAAAGGATGGGATGCAGGACATGCCAAGCCTGGGCTGGTGCCAGTGCCAAACAGCTGCAGACAATACATGGAAAACAGCTGCACCAGGGAACTTGGAGCAGAGAAAGGGCAGGTGGAGGCAGGCCCCTTTGGATTTTGTGAATTCAGGCACACTGCCACAGAGGAATGAAATTAGATAATTGGTTAATAACCCATAAACAAAGGTAATAACTGTTCTTTGCTTGGGTTGACTGGGCACCTCTTCACTGTGACCTAGGTACAAACCCAAAAAAGAGAACTTAAGTTCTTAATTTCCTAATGAAGACAAGTGGGAACATAACAGCCTGAAAAGGTGATGAGTGTATGGCTTACTTTTTTGGATCTAGGCCTTAGCTATTTCTATCCTCTCATTCTATCTCCTACTTAGGTTTCATGTCCTGGCCTAGAAGAGGTCAGAAAGATCAAGCGAGCTTGCAGCTGGGATAGTTGGAATCCTTTCACTGTTCTTTCCTATTCTCTCCAATAAACTACCACTAATCTCTTGCAAATCACCAACACAATTTATATTCAATTCACAGTTAGATTCTGGGAAGTGGACTTAGTACAAAGTCCATCATAAATTAAACTCTGTGTTTACAAACACAAAAAGACAAGTTAACCATGAGCCAGCAATGTGTGGCCAAGAAGGCAAATGGCATTGTGGAGTGCACTATGACCAGTGTGGCCAGCAGTTTAAGGGTGGCTATTCTCCCCCTCTACTCTGCTCTGCTGAGGCTGCATCTGGGGTACTGCGTCCAGCTCTGAGATCCCCGGTTCAATAAAGACAAGGAACTACTGAGATGGTCTGGCAGAGGGTTACAAAGATGTTTGAGAGACTGGAACATCACTCTCATGAGGACAGGCTGAGAAAGCTGTTCAAGCTGGAGAAGAGACTACTGAGAGGGGATCTTATCAATGAACACAAATATCTTAAGGCCAGGTTCAAGAAGATGGGGCCAACTCTTTTCAGTGATGCACAGCAACAGGACAATGGGCAATGGGCACAAACTTAAACACAGGGAGCTCCATCTGAATACGAGAAAAAACGTTACTTTGAGGGTGACAAAACACTGGAACAGGCTGCCCAGTTGTGGAATCTCCTTCTCTGGAGATATTCAAAATCTGCCTGGATAGAAACCTGTGCAACCTGTTACAGAACCTGCTTTAGCAGGGGGTTTGGATCAGATGATCTTCAGAGGTCCCTTCCAACCCCAACTGGTTTGTGACTCTGAATTTTTTATGTCGGAAAATTTGTGTATGAACCAACTTAAGAGTTTATTACTAGGATTGACTTAAGAAAATTCCAAAGGAAACAGTTTTTACTCTATATAACAACATGTCATTCTGCAACTTGAGTACCACCTTTGTCAAGCTGTATCTATGGTTTTTAGAACAGGTTTAAAACCAAAAGCAAACAATAAAGAAAGCAAAAAAAGCAAGTTCACTAACTGTTACAGGAACCACAACATTAACAGGTTAGTCAATAACTAGATTCAAACAGAAAGTCCTTTGGAAGACAATTTATGGCCATGTCAGGCAAGATACCAAGGTTCACATTTAATGACTAATACTATAATAGACATTCAAGTGGCAAGGAGTAGCCTCTGATCTTGCACCTGAAATGAGCAGAAAAGGTAACAGGATTCCTCCTTCTTTATAGCCTCCCTATCCTTTTTGTAAATGCGTACTTCACAAAGTGGAATAGGAGAAAGGAAGTTTTACAGGCAGACTCCTCTGAAATAACAGCATGAAGAGAAGCTGTGAGCCAGGGGATTTCTACTCCTGACAAGCCTACTGTCCAAACTGCTGTCATGTCAGCAGTCTCCAGACCCATCTGAACATCTTGGTGCTATTTGAAGCCATCAGGTTAGCTGAGATAAATGAAGAGCCACACATTATCAAGCACGTCAGCTTGCTCACTGTCTCACAATTATTTTGAATAAGGATTCCAGTCCTGAAAGAGCCTTGGAACAGCTGAGAAGACACAAGGTTTATATTTTGTTCATGGCAACCTAAAAAAAATTCTGCCTGAGTCACACAAATCTGTTATCACATATGTCCATTGCCTTAATTCCAAATCTAAGCACCAACACCTGCTCACAGATGCACATAAAATCACTGTTGAAGATCCCAGACTTTGATAACCCTACATTTTATGCATGATAGTACTCTAAAGAGCACCATGGTCTCAGTACCAGGTGGGCTTCAATTAAGTGCCACAGGAGAAGGTCTCTTTTATCAATCAGAATTAAATTGTCCCCTGTCTTATTGAACACATGATATCTAACACGACAGGGTCAGGAAGAGTAAACTGTCAGTCAACATAAATATAAGCCCCCCTCTAAAAACTAACATACTGAATCAAATTGTGATACAGAAACATTTTGTGATAAAACAGAAACAATAAAATTGAATTATAAAGGCTTTAGTTCTCACTACATATTTAAAATTCTATTTTAAAATGCTGTTACCTTAATACTGGCCATGGATAGAGGTCTTTTTAACTTCAAAAACTGTAGATTTCCATATTCATGGATTTCTCATCCATACCTTTGCAAGACATGCAATCCAAGGAAATTAAAGGGCTTACTGATATAACACAAAGTGAAACTCAAATCATATCGAAACCATGTGACACAGTTAATGATTTGCTATCTGTCCTTCTTATGCTGGTATTACAAAAATTGTATTCTAAAAATTTACACAGAAGTCCCTGTTAATAATAAATACTAAGTTTAACAGATTATAACTTTCTTTTCAATGAAATCACTTAACAATTTACCTCCTCAAAGTAAAATTAAAAAGCTACCACTTTGCCCCGTATGTTTCTGTATCTGTGTATTCTTTTTCAAATTTGGACTTTAGTTCATTAGACGTGTTGAGCAAAAGTCAACAGATATTTCTGCTGGAAACACAAGTGTATGTGTGTGTGATTATATGCATATGTTTGCTTATATATATATTTTTCTTTTTTTCATTCATTTATTTGAAGACCCATGTATATGTCCCAAAGATTTATACAAAAAGAACAATCTTTTTGGCTATAATTAAAAACTGCAATACAATGCACTCAAAAAAAAAATATCCCTTCTGTGCAATGATGCATGAAGAGATTGCGTGTAGCATAGGACAGCTGACGAAAATTGTTTTCCTCTAGTAAAACCACAGGTGTTTCCAAGAGTCTGCTCCAGCTGAGCTGTTGTTACTCAACATGAAATTTTTATGCATGTTTAAAACAGCTTCAGGGTACAAAACACAGGTGTGATTCCACCTCTGTGATGTGCTGCACAGGATGATGCTCACCCTCAGCCTGTATCTTTTCTAGCTCTTAGGACAGGAGGTATAATCCTCAGTGTCTTCATAATGAACATGATATCAACCCTTGTCTTTTTTGGTGCCTTCCTGCTTCTCCCTTACACTTTAGAAACATCCTAGTCCTAAACAGTCCTTGCAGTGCTTGACAGGCCATTAAGTCAGCCAAACCACAAACTCTCTGCTACGACCTTTGTTATAATAAAAAAAAATTACAAAACTCTATGGCACAGAGGGAGGGGCAAAGTTTGTGTGCCAGATTCTTGGAGTGTAAATAAAGCAACTCACAAGATAAATTACTGGCAGGATGATTCATTTGTTTTCTGGTTAGACTTGGCATCAAAGCAAGCACAATTGTAAATTGTGACAAATCTCCTATGGTATTTGGTATATATCCTTTCATTTGCTTCCAAATGTTGGTAGGAAGGACCCTTAAAATATTTATAGGCATTGCTGAGGCTTCTTTTCTCCACACAGGACAGCACCAGCTCTTTCAGACTTTCCTTATTATGGAAATGTCCCAGGCCCTTCATCATCCCCTCAAATCATCTCCCATAAACCTGCTGATCTGACTATTTTACATTTCCTACACGGTGTTGCCTCTCCATGCAGGAATCTTGCAGCCTATGGCCTTTCTCTCTGCAAAATCTGCTTCACTTCTTTTTGGTTTAAGGTCTTTTTACTTATCTCTGTACCAGATAAAAAGAATAAAAATATAATGAAACAGAAAGGAAAATTCTGCAAGTAAAAACATCAACTTGAGATATTCATGTGCCAGTGACTATGAAGATAAGTCTCTCAAGACATTTTCTATCTGCTATTCAATTGATTATGACTAATTATTACAGAATGACATGCTTGTGCTATTCTATTAAGCCATTACACAACCACAGTGGAGAGGCATTCATCCTCAACATTGACACTTAAAATGTGAAAAAAAAGCCAAGTGCCAATACTCAAAGATTTCTTGAGTGCTAAAAATTCGAACCTTGCTGGATTTTCAGAAATAACAGTCTGTGTTGTGTACCTCATAGTTGTTACAAAATTAATCATTGAATAGCACCAACAATCTAATTTTACATTTATTTATTTATTTATTTATTTAGGAAATTCAGCTGGTTTTGGTTTTTTTACAGGTTGCTTACCTGCTTCAGAACATTTTCTCCCCTCAAAAATTTAACAATGCAAAACAGTCAGAGAACGAAAAGAACTTGAGAGTATACATTCATCTTTTCCTGTATCACATCAGAGCATAATAGCAGGGCTTTCACTACATGCCTATAACCTCTGTATTTTAAGAGGAACAACAGATTTTTTAAACAGATGGGCTTGTGCAGGAAATGGAGATGATTAAAGAACCTGTACTTCGTTCTCCAAAGGTACCATTGCTGCCACCTACAGATGAAACAAATTCACAGCTCCTGCCTAACATCAGAAAATGCTTTTACTACACACCAAGAAGAGTCGTAACAAGTATTCCCTGAAGAACAAGTCTATAGCTCCCCAAACAATTCTTAATTTGAGGGTGGAAAAAAGCCTTGTGATGTTAAAAATAATGCCACCTGAGTTATCAATAACATATAAAAAAATATATATTTGGAAACCCTCTCTAAACCTTTAGAATTTTCTTTAAAAATAGAAAACCATTTTCTTGGTTTAGGTCATAGCTTTTTCTAATAACTAAACTAAACTTTACTTGAAGACTGAAAATGGGTTGAATGTCCAATAGCTATACAAATATGCTACAAAAACAGCATAAGAGGGTACCTCAGGATTAGGTAAATTCAGGTCTCGTCATAGTTTCTTACAAAAGAACATACAGGCAAATGATATGAGGAGAGATGAGAATATTGTATATAGGGTTTTCTTGATTATTTCAACAACATACCTGCACACATAAAAGCTTCTTTCCTTTGACCTGAAACATCCCTTCTGTTGTCTGTAGGTCAAACTTCATTGAGCATGATAATAAAAAAATAAATGTAGTGGTTTTATACCTGAAATGAGTAAATGGGTATCTCAAATAAGTAAAGATTTTTTCAGATAAATCAAGGAAATTGGTTTGAAAGCCTAAATATAGGGATTATCAGCATCAGTGGTACGGTTTCTGACTGTGGCTTTGTATTGCTATGATCACCTTATAACAGGTACTACATGAGATTTTATGTAAGAATAAAACAATCAGATAATATTTGAAGTCCTAATATTAGCAAAGTTACCCACAGTAATATTACCTGCTTTTATTTCAGATTAAATTATGTTTATTCTTCACTTACATGTAGTTTAAGGAGAGAACAACTCTACCCTATTTTCCTTAACAATGTCACTTGAAAGGCAATTAATCAGGGTTTCAGAGGAGATGCTGCAGACCCAAACAGGGAAATCTCAGTACCTTGCAGGATCTACAATGAACGCTGCTTGCAAACACATTATTTTGGCTTGGATGACAGTGACACAATTTCACAAAACCACAGAATGGCTGAGCTGGGGAGGGACCACTGGAGTTCATGTTTGAAGCCCCCAGCTCTAGCAGGGCCACCTAGAGCCAGATGCCCAGGACCGTGTCCAGATGGGTTTTGAGTAGCTCCAAGGATGCAAATCCACAACCTCCCTGGGCCAGCTCCTGGTCACCCACACAGTGAAAAACTGTTTCCTGATGCTCAGTGAACATCTTGTGTTCCACTTTGTGCTCATTGCCTCTGGTGCTGGCACTGGGCACCATGACAGGACCTGAGGCGATTGCCCTGTGACAGAGCCTGGGCACCCTCTCTTCAGGTTTTTACAAACGATGAGATTTTCCTGAGCCTGTTCTTCCCCGGGCTGGATAGTCCCAGCTCTCTCAGCTTTTCCTCACAAAAGAGATGCTCCAGTCCCTTCATCACCTTAGTGGCCCTTTGCTGGACACTCTCCAGCAGCTCCCCAATTTTATTTAAAATGCTGAATCCTAGATAGCTCCTGTGCGCCGTGCGGGAGCATACGCAGTTCCTACACCCGCTGTAAGTAGGCGTGACCCTGGATACAGAAAAGGCGCGTTTGCCTCTTACAACAAATTTCTCTGGAAAAAGCCGGCAGAGCACGGACACGCCTCTCACTGGGCAGCAGCGAGGCGCGGAGAACTGAATTCCACCGAGAACTGACCTCCTGCTCGG